AGCATAAATGCCACCAAGCTACTCCCCAAGTTTAACTAGTATTTACTTAGTATTCACAAGAGTCCAGCCCAGCCACAGCCTCTAAGCTGGGAAAGCAAGGGCCCCACCCTAGTGGCTAACATACATGGAACATATATCCTTTGCTTGATAAGTACTTGACCCAAATGACAGATCTGTTGAGGTTAGAAAGTAACAAGACACCGTTTGCTTAGCCAATTTAGCAAAACCAAAGAATTCACCCCCCACTGACCTGGCCCCTCATCAAAGTTCCCTACCAGGCTCCATGGCTCAAACCCTTTATGAATTCCTACTGGAAAAGCCAGTTTCAGGGAGACTTTTATAACCAGGAAAAACAAAGTAACAAAACAAAACAGAAAATGGACCAGACATAGTAGCACTTGCCTTTAATCCCAGCACTTGGGAGGCAGAGGCAGGTGGATCTCTGTGAGTTTATGGCCAGCCTGGTCTACAGAGTGAGTTTCAGGCCAGCCAGGGCTATATAGCGAGACCCAGCTCCCATTTCTCAAACCAGGCATTGAGTACAGGAGGGTGCCAAGGCACCGTGCAGAAATAACAATGGGAGGCACTAACTACAGAGTACAAGACCTGGGAAGGAACCTCTGGGCAAGGAGACTCAGTGTTCCAGGACTCAGTTTCTTCATCTGCAAAGTGGGTTACACAAGGACAACATCAGGGTTACTCTAAGGAAAAAGTTAAGCCACTTGACTCCTCTAGGGAAGGTCTCAGTTTGCTTATCTGCAAAATAGAGTCAATATTTCTTCCTTCCTAAGATTATTTAAACAGTAAGTAAAACAGTAAACGCTGAAGGTGAACTGGAGATCAAGAAATAGTGTCTGGGAGTGAAACCCCACTCTCAGTTTCCTGTCTGCAAAATGGGGCAACTGTTTCTGCTCAAATTCTTGTAGGCTCTGTCCAAATGCAAGTAGGACCACAGAGTTTCTGCATCCGACTGCATCTGGCTTTACTGCCACTTCTAGGCAAGAAGGTACCATGTTGGTATGCCAAGCACAAAGCCCTCTAACTCAAAAGCCATCCGGGTTGGGCGAACCTGACAGTATGCCACCCACCCTATGGTGTGCAATGGACACTGGAGTCCATTAAAAAAGCACTCAGAAGCCAAATCTTACCCTTCATTTTGTCAGTGGCACAGACAGGACCCCAACTCCAGCCTTTAGTTGCCTAGCCTCACCCACCACACCCACTGCTTTTCTTTCCCCTACCCTGCAATTGCCCATGTGGTCCCAGGCAGGGCAGGAGCAAGTAGACACATCTCAAGAGGAGGGGGAGGGGGAGCCAGCGGCAGCAGCAGGAACTAAGCCTGCCTGTGGTCTCCAACTTCACAAACCACACCAGGCTGAAATATGACACACGCTCATTCAGCTGAAAGGGAGGAGATATTTTTACTTAACATCAGCTGCCTAAACATTGCTCTCCCCTCCCCGCCACCACCACCATACATAACTTCTGGGACCCCCTTTTCTTTGCTTCAGCTCAATTTTCTTAGAATGTACTTTCCCCAGGCTTTTGGGATGTCTAAGAGTGTCAAATAGTAGAAAGGAAGGACCAGTTCTGGCCAGGAGCCCAGCTAACAAAAGACCTTGCCTGCTTCCAGGAGGCTTAATTTCCTAAAATAGATGGGAGACTGAGCCACACTCTGGGAACCTGTTGATGGTAAAGAACATATGTGCTTATAAATAACTGTGAGGCCTCTCCAGTCTTCCCTGAGCTGTGCAGACCAAGTCCCAGCACCCATGTAAAAGCGAGTACACAGGCACACATCTGTACCTCCAGGTGCACAGACACACATCTGTATCTCCAGGTGCACAGACACACATCTGTATCTCCAGGTGCACAGGCACACATCTGTATCTCCAGGTACACAGACACACATCTGTACCTCCAGGTGCACAGGCACACATCTGTACCTCCAGGTGCACAGGCACACATCTGTACCTCCAGGTGCGCAGGCACACATCTGTACATCCAGGTGAACAGGCGCACATCTGTACCTCCAGTACAGTACTGAGCGTGGAAAGAACAGAAACAGGTGAGTCTCTGAGGCTCTTTGGCCAGGCAGCCTAGCTGAACTGTTGAGTTCCAGGTTCACTGAGAGACTATCAAAAAATAGTGGAGGGTCTGGTGAGATGGCCAGGCGAAGCGAGTACTTCCTACAGATGCCTGACAGCCTGAGTTTGACTCCCAGACCCAGGTACAGGTAGAAGGGAATACTGACTCTGCAAAGTTGTTCTCGGACGCCACATGTGCACCCCAGCATGCTTACCCACACACGCACATAACACATACACACAGTAATAATAAATTAATAGTAAATAAAAACTTTCATAAAAATAAGTGAAAAGTGATAGATGCCTGAAACTGACCTTTGGCCTCTACACATACACGTGCATGTGCACACACGTGTCCACACACACACACACACACACACACACACACACACACACCACAGACATATAAAAAGCACTAAGAATGCAGCCCCACACCTAAGCTAGCACTTGTAATTTCTCTTACATTCTCTGGTCAGCAAATACTCAACAGCTGTGGGCCCAGGCCAGAAGCGTTTCCTTGAAGAAAACCAAAGATCAGTGTTTCATCAAAGCGCTACAGGCCAGAATGATAACATCTCTGTGGACAGACACATGTCATCTAAGAGCCAAACTGCCCACACACAGTCAGGCCCCAGAGGACCAGGAAGCAGGGAGTGCTCCCTCCCAGGCACAGTGCTCACTGTGACAGTCCACCTCAAAGGAAAGAGGAGGACAATCAAGACAAACGAGCCTGTCCCTCATTTTGAACCTACAGCAATAATCTTTTTATTTTACAACTATTTTTTAAGAAGAAAATCCACTACACTGAGATACTGACAATAACAGCATCTACCAAGTAGCTGCGTCCCATCTGTTTTCAGGTAAAAGTTACCTGTTGGCCATCCCAGCAGGCATTGCTATGGCTTGGACCTGCCTGCCAACCACGAGACTCATCCTCAGGGCCTCGCTGCCTCTAATACAGCCCTTCCCCCTGCACCCACACATCAGCCACTAGGTCAATGAGTTCTTGGTCACAAACCTTTCCTGGCATCTTACTGCCTGTGGAGTAAAGTCTAAGTCCCTATTTTAACCAGTTCTGTCTTCATCACAGTCCCAATTCCAGCACTCCAACCTTGCCCCATCCTCCAGTCTAGCTATGTAGAATGCACAGAAAAACTCAGCGCCTTTGCACAAACTGCCCCTGCTTCTTGGAATAGCTCTTGCCCTGATCCCTCTTCTTCTGGCAAACTATTACTCATTTCCAAGGCCTGGCTCAACCAGACTGAATTAGTCACCCCCTCTTACTATGCTGTAACTGAGTATGGTCTAAATATGTCAAGATGGGAAGTATAGGGAGTGCTCTCCTCCTTGGGGCTCTTGAGCCCCTCCATGGTCAAGACCCAGAGCATCAGGTTAGAAGGGAAGGAAACTGATTGACAGGCAAGCCTGCCTGCTTCCCCTGGCTCTTGTGAGGCTCTCATAAAAAGACTATGGAAAATTGTGGAATAAATTCCCTCCTGGGGTTGACACAGAAATCTTTGCTTCTGGATAATTTACACAAGTGCCAAACCAAGCTCCCTTGGCTGCTTATGATTTCCCTGGCATTTATAAATAGGGAGGCCCAAGAAAGGAAGACAGTCTCAAAGAAGCTGGGCACCACCGGATCCCTGTTCCCATGCTGCTGCTTCCTCTTTCTTTTAAAGTCTCCCCCCAAGTGTGGGGCAGCATAACACCTCTGGCCAGTACTGCACAAAACACCCACGAGTCTAAGGTCCCACGAAAGGAATCAGGAAGAATAGGCTGGCACTGGGCCCATGCCCTGCCACTGCCTCCCTGTGTGACTCTGGCCCTTGGGTCACACTTAGAGATGGACCTCCATCTCTCCCATGCCCTGCCACTGCCTCCCTGTGTGACTCTGGCCCTTGGGTCACACTTAGAGATGGAGTGCAACTCCACAGAAGGGGTCAATATAAAGTGGCTCTGAGGTCCTGGTACTCCGGTCAGAATCATGGTCCCTGGGGAACAGGATGGTCAGAATTAAGTCTTTGAAAAGTCCCAGAGGTCAAACAAAGGCAGACACTAGCCTTTCACAAATGCTTCATACCCAGGAATGCCAGGAAGAACTCCTGGGTCTGTGAAAAGATTCCTCCCTGCTCTGTGGAGACTCTAAGAATGGAATAAAGGGATGTCTGGGCTCGGGTCAACCTACAGTTGGATCTCCTGCTTGCCTGTATACCCCAGCTCTCAGACCTGGGGCTTCCCCTGCAGGCCCGGCAAGCCTGGACCATGGGGGAAGTTGCTATAATAAAGTTGGGGGAGAGTGGACCTGAAAAGTGATGGAGACCCTGAGATAAGGTGCTCCTAATCAGGAAGGCGTCGACGTTCGGTCAGAAGTTTCTTCTCCAGGCTGGAAGGTAATGCAACACTGCAAGGCGGGAAATAAAACAGCTAAATGCCTTCAGAACGGTCATGAAGATGTCAGGCACGCACAAGGAGGAACTTTCTAACAGTTTTTGGGCCCTGAAGGAGGAAGGTGTTGCTCAGGAGTGAAGACTCCACTACGCGGACTCCTCACCCGGCCACTGTTCAAACCATGCATGGTCAGTCACCTCTCTCGGGGTCTGACACCCCCAAAGCAAAGATGACTCGGGCCCAGTTCCCCGCACTCGCGGGGCGGGTCGAGGTGAGGTCCAGTGCCTGCAGCACTGAGGATCTAGGCGTGGCGGAATGGACCGCTCCTCTTCACCTCTAGCTCCGGGCCACCTCCCTCGGTCTCCTGGAGAGAAGGCAGGTGAGCGAGCACGTCCTTCTCCCGAGATGCCCACGCGTGGGCCGAACCCCAGACTCATCCGACCTCGGATACGCAAGGGAAGGAGAGGAGATTAAGCTCAACCCACCCCGAAAGCCCAGGACCCGAGCGGCCCGCCTTCTTACCTGCGGCGGCGCGGGCAACAGCGGCTGCTCAGTCCGGCTGTAAGCCCAGCTGGTTCCTGGGGGCGGGGCGGGGTGCTCTGCGCGAGCGGCCGGATGGGCAGGGCACACACCGGAGCCGCCCTCAAGGCGGGGCAGGCTGCGGGGGAGGAGCACAGCTGGGAGGATGAAGACTGGCTCCAGGCTAACATTCATCCTCTGTCCGCCTGAAGGTGTCTACCAAGCCCTCTGCGGTCCACAGGAGGAAACTGAAGCTGGGAACATGGAGGGCAATTCTGAAGGGGCCCAAGGTAGTGAGGAGCAGACTCGGGTTCACCAGGGCGAGGCTGGGGGCAAAGAGTGGGTAGTTTGCGGTGCAAAGCTAAAGCAGTGCCGGGAGGTCCTTCAGAGGCAAAGCCCTCCATCTGGGAAATAGCTCCCTGCAGGAAGAGGTGATCTGCAGTCCTCCAGCAGCTTGCCCTGCTGAAGAGAACAAGGAGAATCTCTTCTAATGTCACCCAGATGTAAGGAAGGAGAAATGCCAAGGCCATCCCATCCTGATGTGTCCAGCCTGGGGACTCTGGGCAATGAACTATGAACTTAACACATCTAAGGCTCAGTGCAGCCACTTATCAAATGAGCCTCTCATGGTGGGAGGGGACATGACTCGACTTTGTGAGAAAAGACACTTAGCACAATGGCAAACACAGAGGATCATCTCTCATAAACAGATGTTCACATTAGTGCAAAAGCAAATGTTCCCTGAGGGCACTGGTTGGGAACATGAGTGGAAGGGCACTTCCATGCAAGTGTAAGAATTGATTTCTCCCCACTGCATCAGACAACACTTGAGCATTTATAAAGGAGCAGGATACAGGATGCAGGATGCTACAAGCATGGCTTCCCTTTGGAAGAATTCTCACACCACTCAGGATGCGATGTCCCTTCCAGTACAACAGTAGCTCATGTTCACCACAGTAAAGCTCCCTCCAACACAAGGTGAAATGTTCCGGGATTTAGTAATTACTAGGTGCCAAGAGTGGTATTTTAGTGGCAGAGAGAGAAGAACTCAGAATTTCCTAGTTTAGTCTTTCATTGAGAAGTAGCCAGGGAAGCCACAAGGCCTGGGGAATCCCAGGCTGGCTCATCCTCCCACCTACTCTTTTAGGATCTGCAATGCTTCTCATGTCACCAGCTTTCGCCTTGTCTCTTTCCTGTCTCCTGAGGGAGGCGTCACGATGTATGGTTTTCAGAAGAGATGACTGAGCGACAGAAAAGGTGGGTTCTCTGGGTCTGGTCCTCTGTGAACAAGACTTGGCTGTGGCTCATATGTTCAATGTCCTGTGTCATACTCTGCCATCCTTCCTGGCTTGGTAAACTGCCCAGATCCACTTCCTCTAAAACCTAGAGTGTCCACACTAGGGGAAACTTACACTCCCTCTGTAGGGCCAATGGGCTGGGAGGCAAAAGCACAAGCTGCTTGGCTTTCCACTGATGCTGAGCCCAGGCATACACATTGTTTCCAAAGCCAGAGGTGGGAGAGGAACCTTAAATTTGTGTTCCCTCGAGCTGAAGGGCATCACATTGGGGTAGAAGAAACACAAGAACATTTGTTCAAGCCCTCATGGTAGAGAGGAGGGGACAGGTCAAGAGAGCAAAGGGCTTGTTCCTATAACTCTAGGCTGGAAAATGCAGAGCTATCTCCTGAAATTAATTAAAGTATGAAGCTACGATGATTGACGCTTGCAGAGGAGGGCCAAGCACGTTCCTGCTCCTTCATTTCTTGGTGTTCCAAGATGCTCAGGGGATATTCTAACCTGTTCTTTCCTGTCAGGTCTGCTTTGTAGGGGTTCTAGGAGTCCCATTCATCTTCTTGTCCCATCCCCTTCTTTTCTGGACATCTTGAAGCCCATCATCAGTCAGGTGCATTTGTCCTGGATCCTTGCCTGCAAATGGAAGAATCTTGATGTAGTCTTTTGACAGAATACCTCCCCATCCTCAAAATGAGGATGAGAGAGATGAAGGCCGCACAGGTCATTCAGTAAACAATTCGGAGGTGCCTGCTTCCTTCAAGAATGCCTCACCCACAGATCCTCTCACTGGGAGCCCACACTTGTACTATACCCCTCCCACATCCTCCTCTTTTTCAACATACTCCAGCCAGAGTAGCAGGTTCATACTACCCAAGCCTGGCTTTTCATAACCTCACCTGTACATGCTGGGGTGCAGTCCCAGGGGTGAGTGACAAGGGGCTGTAGCTTAGCTGATAGAATGCTTGCTTTGCATGCACAAGGCCCTGTGTTCAATCCCCAGCATTTCATACAACAGGCATGGTGCTGCATGACTGTAGTAATCCTGACACTTAGCAGATAGAGGCATGAGGATCCGCTGTTCAAGGCCATCCTTCACTATACAGTGAGTTTCAGGACAGCCCGGGCTACATGAGATGCTTCCTCAAAAAGAAATTCTTTGTTAATTAAAAACTGAGAGAATTCTGAAAAACACCTTTACTAGGCAGAAGGCTGAGGCATCTTTGGAAGGATGGAGGAGAAAGAATGGATATGAGAAAGGGGGATCAGCTCTTCTGTGAGGGTACAGAACAGGCAGGCGGAGGATGTGGGGAGACATAGCTGGAGGCAGGAAGGGAATCTGCTTTGCTCTACCTGCTACCCTTCAAGGATGACTAGGGCCAGCTCACACCAGCTCACAGGTAAATCTCTGGGAATGTTTTAAAGCTGATTTAAACACAATTTATGTAAATAACAATTCATGTGAACTCACAAATTACACTGGAAATTCATTCTCAAAGCATGAATTCCAAATTACTTTTACCATAGTTTACACTACTGGCTAGACTTTTAAGGTCATTCTAGCTATATTCCCATAAGGTAGTAACATAACACTACGTGTAATTGGGTACTATTTCTTGTCTCTTTCCAGTTCTACCTTCCTGATATCATGCTGGTTCCAGAAATCAGCCAAGGTAGAAATCTATACTGGAATCAGCAAAAGCCTTAAGTCAGAGCTTCCAACAACCTTCCTTCAAACACCAGCACAGCACAGCCCAGCCCAGCAAAGCACAGCACAGTCCAGCCCAGCCCAGCACAGCATAACACAGCACAGCCCACACCCAACCCTGCCCTGCCCCGCCCCCACCTGCCTACTCTCTGAAGTCACATCGTTCCACTGAGACTCAGTGGCAGGGGAAAATATGTCTGCTTGATTTTTAACTATAAGCCCAATGTCAAATAGTGTCCGGCACAGACCAAGGGCTGACCAATATTTTCAGTGGATTACTTAGTGAGGAGATGCATTTGGTCAGATGCAGGGATTGGAACACATTATGGGTCTTGAGAGTGAGTTGAAAGAACTACCAACCCAAATGTTTTGAGTGTCCTGGGCAGGAATGTGTTTGCACCATTGTTTTCTTTTAATTTATTGTGTGCTTGTTTGGTTTGGTTTGCTTTGTGTGCTAGGGAGGTTGAACCTGACACACCTCCGCTATGTGCTAAGTGCCTGTGAACTAGACCTGGTTCCAGGCAACCCCTGACAACTAGAAGACCCATAGTTTATGGGTTTCCAGACCACTGGGTTTCTAACAGGCATGGTTCTGTAAATATGCCTTAAATTTCTGCACATCTGACATCAGCAAGGCCTACTGATTCTGTGGCACAGTACAAGCCATCCCCACCTCCCCCTCTCTCAAGTCACATTGTCAAGCAAGGACCCAAAGTACCAGACATTCGTTCATTCTGCCAAGCTTGACACTGCTGCTCCCAGCAGGCCCTATGCTGTTCACAATAATAACAACATGAGAAGCACAATTACAACTGTCACATATTGCATTACTTTCATTAAGCCTTGTTAACTTTGACATCACAAATTAGTAAGCTAGGAGAACCACAGAATGAGCTTTGAACCCAGATCTGTCTCCAGCACAAATCTTTTCTGTGGCCAACGTGAAAGGTAATTGTGGATCAAGGCCCTATACAGGATCAACAATTATATTTCATCTAAAGGGCTCAAGAGACGGCCCAGCAGCTAAAAGCACTCGCTGCTCTTGAAGAGAACCAAATGCACAACAGTTCAGCTCAACACCACTCTAACTCCCACTTTCCAGATGGAGAAACCAAGGCTCAGCAGCAGGGGAGACCTCTTATCTCTGCTGCATGCCTGGGAAATGGCCAAGTTAGAACAGAAGCCAATATCTTGGCAATCAGGGAACAAGGAGTGTCACAAAAGTCACACCACATAACAGACCTCATGTAAGAGATTTACTGGGGGCGAGAGATGCAAAATGGCTGCCTTTGAGAGGGGATGGAGACAGCTGTGTAACAGGCTGTGATAGTGGGCTTCTTAGGGGATATGGATCACGCGCATATGGAAAATATGATGTCAGATTGGCTGTTACTGATGATGGGGGCCAGGTGTTGGCACTGAGTCATTGCAGGTAGGGAGGAACGTGGTTCCTGAATGAAGTCAAAGGACTTTTGGTGGTTCTCCCACCACAAATGCTCACTCTCTGAAACTGTATGCCTCAATAGACTCTTCCTTCTAATAAGTTATTTGATCATGGTGTTTTGTGATGGCAATAGAAAAATAACCAAGCTGGGAGGTGGCGGCGTACACCTTTAATCTTAGTGCTCAGGAGGCAGAGGCAGGCAGATCTCTGTGAGATCCAGGCCAGAGATAGTTCCAGAACAGCCAGAGCCCTTATGCAGAGAAACCCTGTCTCAAAAAAAAAAAAAAAAAGAAAGAAAGAAAGAAAGAAAGAAAGAAAGAAAGAAAAGTAACTAAAACAGAAAAGAGTGACAGAGACAGAGATTCTAGTGGAGGGCATGGGGCCCTGCTGGCCTCACAGCCCATGCCTGCCAGGGATTTAGCAGGAAGAGCAGCCTTTGTTCTGTATGAATCAGGCCAGCTGTTTGTGAAAGGCCAGCCCTGCTCTTCTGGGTGCTGCATACCAGAAAGCATTAGGCTGTCCGTGCAGGTCACCAGTGGGAGGAGGGGCAGTGCTTTGTATACAGGACTGTACCATAGACAGACTTAAATTATCAGCATACAGAACAATGGGCTTTTCATATTGGCAATTTCATAGTGGCAATGTGTCTTAGAGTTGAAACACAATCAGCTGGCAATACATTACCTTCTTT